ATATGAATTATTTAGTTCGGTTTCGATTCGATTCGGATTATTTCGGGTTTTCGGTTATAGATTGGATCTTCATTTTTCGGATCATTCCGGTTTCGGTTTCGGATATTTCGGTTCGGGTAATCAGTTCCGGTTATGTTTTGCCAGGTCTAGTTGTAATGTGGCAGTGTGCATGTGCATTTTACATAATGTACATGGTCATGATTGGTAATTTAAATGTATTTTAACTCCTATTTCAAAAATAAAAACATGAAACTTCTATTTTGGTATATTTTCAAAGTTTTACTCCTACTTGAATGTTTTTCCAAATTCTTATACAAGGTCATATCCTCGATATGGGTCACAAATTTTAAATTAGATCCTGTCTAATTACCACCTTCCAATTTTTCATACGTTTAGTCTTTAAAAATTGTATGATATATTAATTAATTAGATAAAACAATTTTTTAAAAGTATTTTATAACATAAATCTAAATAAATATTTTTGAATCAATATCTAATATCAATTTTATTTTATTATAGTCAAAGATTATCAATTTTGACTGCAAAAAGTAAGTAAGGGGTACGTATTGTTCGTTCATTTTAATTGGTTAGATTTAACCAAGTAGAAATAGAAATCACCTTAAATAGGACTTAAACATAGAGTAAGGAAACCAAAATAGGACTTTCATGTTTTTTTTCGAAATAAGACTTTGCACTGTGGTAATGTGGCATTGTACATGTGCACATTACTATACTTTTTTTGGTAATGTACATGACCATGTTTGGTAATGTAAGTCTTACGTCACGAATAAAATTATGTAAGTCGTATTTTGGTATATTTTCAATGTTTTAGTCCTACTTTGCTCTTTCTTCCTTAACCAAGTTGAACTGAGTTAAATGACCACAAAATGCTTAATTTAAAATAATTCAAAACTAGGAAGAATTCGTGTTTAACTTTTCAAAAAAAATATTTGACAGTTTATAAAAATATTTCGAGATTATATAATTTTTATTAGCACTCCTTAAAATTAAAATATTTTGTGCAAAAAAAAACCAGTATTCTAATAGCAATACTCCATAAAAAAACCAGTATTCCCCAATTTTGAGGCATATCTTTGATCAATATGCAATTTTGGAGAATTATATTGTTGTTAAAATATCGACTTTCTAGGGGTAGTAGTGATAATTATAATTCTTATAGCATTCTTATAAAATTTCATTTTTTGAGAATTTTTGCATGATTTTTTCTTTAAGACTAATATGTTGCAATTAGTATGATACCTCAAATTAGATGGGATATTTTGACACAATTTAATTATTTACACTATTCTTCACACCATTAAATTTGTATTAAGCTATTATTGGACTGTCAATTTAATTATTTGCACTGCTTAGAACGACAATTTTAGCGACGGAATGGTTTTGTCAATTGTCTAGCGATGGAAAATTTTTGTCAAGTCTCTTCACTAATTCTTTTAACAATAAATCTTACAATATAATACGGAGTAATTTTTTTTACACATTTGGTTTTCTTGCGCCTGAGGTCGTGGAGCAAGAATTGCTGAAGTCATAAACAAAAATCACAAAATACACAATCTTACTATTTTTCATCTCACCAAAGGACTAAAATTATTTTAAATAATTAAAAAGTAGAAGTTTAAAAATATAAATGATAAGTTTATGAATTTTGTGACCATTGTGTTTGTGACTTTAACATTTCTTTAACATTGTGTTTGGTTTAAGGAAAATAAAAGGGGAAAAAAAGAAAATGAGAAAAAAAAATTGTTTAGTAGGAGAGAAAAGTAAAGAGGAACAAAAAGAAAATTAACACATAATGTACAATGAGGAAAGAAAATGCAACATCTCCTATTTTGTTGAGGAAAACCAGATAAAATCACTTTCTTTTCTTATATTTTTGAATTTTTTTATCTCTCTGATTCTTTAAACTAAACATAGTGTAAAACTCCCTAATCCTCTAAATGTTAAGGCCCATTGCAAAACGACGTAGTGAACTCCCATTTGGGCGGGCCTGGAAAATGTGAAAAGTCTATTGTTTTAATAAAAGTGGCGGATTAGAGAATGAGTTGTGGCCCAATAGCTGGTTCGTTTCAAATATTCTTCTTTTTTAGAAAAAAATTGGTGTAATAGAAACTTTCTCTTCAATAAATAAATTATCCTAAATAAGAGTAAAATATAAAGAAATTTCAAAACAAGAGTTATATATTTTTTCCCTAAATAAGACTTCGCACTATGGTAATGTCCCACTGTAAATGAGCATTTCACTTTATATTTTTTTGTAATATACATGGTCATGATTGGTAATGTAAATCCATTTTAACTCCATTTCGGAAATAAAAACATGGAACTCCTATTTTGAATTTTTTTCAATATTTTATTCATACTTTTATCTTTTTCCTTCTTCAATAAGATTTTTTTAAACTTCAACAAGCATTAATTACATGCTACTATATGATACAAAGTATGTAGTATCTTATAATTGACATTGTTTCCCGGTAGTCTTCTATAAAAACTATTCTTTAAATAATTGTTAAGTAGTACGGAGTAGTTATATAATTTTTATATTTTTTATCGTCTAGATTTAGACAAAGTTCTCCAAATAGTTCTAATTAAGTATTCCCAATTTGGTCTTCTGATGTTATAATTATAATTTCACTCGAAAATGATTGAAACATAACAAAAACATAACAAAAAGAAAAAAAATTAGAACTATCATTATTTATCTGTGAAATAAAACTCATAATATCAATAATGCGAGAGATGTGCCATACAAGCAAGCAGTACCATGCTTCCGAGTTGATGGCGACAAATGGAAGAAAGTTAAAGGTAAGGAAAACAAAAAGAAATTCTCGGGTTTCAAGTTACCTATGGATGTCTATGCTTGGTGCAAGAAAAGGGGAACTGTAAGAGAAATTTTCCAAAACGAGGCAAATTAAATAAGAACTGGCAGGATAATTAATTATGGAAGAGACAGGTGACTCATCTGAGGCCAATTACTTTCTATCAATGGATTACGTCACGCTTCACCTAGATGTGTGGGTTCTTGACTCTGTAGCTTCTTATCACAATTATTCTAACAGGGAGTTATTCTCAAGCTACTGCCAAACGAATGAAGGTTTTGTTCACATGGCAAATGAGGTTGTTTGTAAGATAATAAGAAGATGCTCAGTTAGATTCCTGAACCAGATATGTACTTTCAAGGAGGTTAGACACATTTCACTAGTCACAAAGAATGTTATTTCCTAGGGCTACTCGCTAGAAAGGGTTTCAATTCCAAATGTGAAGATAGAGACTTACATGTCTACAAAGGTTCAAAGACACTACTCAAAAGAGTTAAGGATGGGGCTCTATGCCTATTAAAGGGTTCGCCGATAACAGGTTCGGTTGGAGTTGTCTTAGTCGAGGTACAAGAAGCTGATCATATTAAATTACGGAGTACATCATATGAGACTCAGTCAAATGAGAGAACATGAGATGCACGAACTAAACTAAAAGGTGAAGAGGCTGTCGCAGACAATAGATGTTGTGTTTATGGCATGTTATTTCGTAAATCGGAGTCCTCACACTAGCATTAAGTGCAAGATACTGATAGAGTTATGGTCTCGAAAAGCTGTTGATTATTTGAATCTTAGACGTTTCGGATGCAAAGCCTATTATCATAGAGATGATGGGAAGCTATAGCCAAGAGCAAAAAAAAGGGATTTTCATGAGCTTTGGGACAGGTGTAAAACGATATACGATCTGGTCGGATGGGAAGATCATACTCGGTAGGAATGTGGTCTTTAATGAGAATCTGATGCTAAAACCAACCGTGGAGATAGAATCGGAGGAGTTTGAAGAGAATGCACCATTAAAGGAACAAGTGCATTATTAGCTGTATATATTTGTTTACTTATTTGTATGTATTATCGTGTATGGGCCTGGCCCAGTAGTCGTAGTAGTAGCCCATGTATTTTGTATATATACTCGATGTAACTACAGAATCAATCAAGAAAAAGTTCTCTCACATTTTCTACATAGTATCAGAGCCAATTCCCGGGCATAACGAAAAACCCTAGTAACGAAAACCCTAGCGCCGTTTTTTTTCATTCTCGCCGGCTCGCGTCGGCCATCGCTCCTCTCTCACCGGCTCACGTCGGACGATCTCACTGCCGCCTCACAACGACGGACTTCTCACGCCGGTGGTCTTCCTGACAGTCACTGCTTGTTCTTCGTGAAGCTATGACGACCGAAACCACGAAAAAGGTTAGGTTGATTCACGACCCTACGTCTCTATATTACATTCACCCGTCTGAAAGCGTGGGGAATTCTCTGACTAAACACTTGCTCAAAGGAGACAATTATGATGTATGGGAGAAAACCATTATCAACGCCTTGGAAGGACGTAGCCGGGCTGGTTTCTTGACTCCCACGGGTTTCCCCAAACCTACCGACGAACAAGAACTTGCGGCTAGGACAGCCAACAATTCTATTATTTGTTCCTGGATATGCAATAGTGTGGATGAACACATTCAACCGTCGATTATTTCTCACAAAGTGGCACATGAACTGTGGCTGGATCTGAAAACTCGCTACGGTGGGTCGAACGGCCCTAGGGTTCATCAACTCAAGTCGGAACTCCAATCTCTTCGACAAAAAGGTCAAACTGTAGTGGTGTACTACAATCAATTTGTGACACTCTGGAACAAATTGTACGGGTCAACTGACCCTACGTGCGGTTGCCGTTGTGACGCGGCCGTCCGTATACGAGCTCGAGAAGAGGAAGAGAAGACTCATCATTTTTTGCTAGGTCTTGACGACGAACAATTTGGTCACATCCGGTCTCAAATCATTGCTTTGGAACCCGTTCCTGATATTCACTGGGCCTATGCATTGGTCGTTCAAGAAGAACGCCATAAAAACATCGTTCGGGGTAGAGATGATCGGACCGATGCTGTAGCATTTGCCATGCAGCGACCCAGCGCCCCATTAATTCGTGGGGAACCTCCATTGTATTCTTGCACCTATTGCGGAAAAGATGGGCACTCGAAGGAGCGGTGCAACCAGCTGCACGGCTATCCTCCACCGAAAGGCCGCGGTCGTGGATGACTTTCCGGTCGTGGCAGTGGGTCGGGCAGAGGTCACGGCCGTGGGGCTGCTGGCGGTGGTTCGTCAACCGGCCGAGGAGCAGGTCCGGGGACAGGGGGAGCACATGCCGCAGGGGGAGCGTCAGCCCAGAACAGCCCATTGGGTCTCACCGCAGACCAGGTCTCTCGTCTTTTATCCATGCTTGACACTTCTTCAGACAAGGGTACTGGCTCGGGGGGTGAGACCTCCAACCGTGAGTGGCTCCTGGATAGCGGTGCCTCGCATCACATGACTGGTAACATCTTATTTTTGTCTGATATAGTGCCAATCACGCCCTGCGTAATTACTTTGCCCAATGGTTCTCGTACTGCTGCTACACGTTGTGGGCAAGTACGTCTCTCCCCAGAGGTTCTTCTACGGGATGTGTTGCTCGTCCCCGACCTCAAATGCAATCTTATTTCTATTGGTTGTCTCATTCGGGACAATACTTGCATGGTTATTTTTAATAAACATTGTTGTGTTATACAGGATTGTGTCACGAAGATGGAGATTGGACGGGGTAGCGCTCACAACGGAGTATTTCTTTTTCGCGCGTCAAGTCCGACGTTTGCTAGTCAAGGGGATCCTATTCTTCTCCACAAGCGTTTGGGCCATCCTTCACCTCAAGTTTTGTCTTCTATTATCCCTGTTCCCAGTAGTTCCAAATTCAAATTATTACAATCATGTGAAATTTGTTTTCAGTCTAAACAAACTCGTAGTAGTTTTCCTCTCAGTTCAAATAAAGCTACTAGTGTTTTTGATTTGATTCACTATGATTTGTGGGGACCATACACCTCATGTTTGGCTACTGGTGCACATTATTTTCTTACTATTGTGGATGATCATTCTCGTGCTGTTTGGGCTTATTTGATTAAGGAAAAATCTGAAGTAACAAGTTGCCTAAAACAATTTTTCAGCATGATCCACACTCAATTTCATAAAATCATTAAGGTTGTTCGTTCTGATAATGGCACTGAGTTTGTTAATCAACCCCTTCGTGCCTTTTATTTATCCATGGGTGTTCTTGTTCAAACCTCCTGCGTTGGCACGCCCCAACAAAATGGGCGTGTTGAACGCAAACACCACCATATTCTCAATGTCGCCCGTGCTCTCATGTTTCAAGCCAGTCTACCAATTGAATTCTGGGGGAGTGTGTTCGTACCGCTGTCTACCTCATAAATCGTACTCCTAGCCCAATCCTCGGTGGTAAATCTCCTTTTGAGGTTCTTAATAAGAAAGTGCCTGATCTTAGTCACCTACGTATTTTTGGGTGTTTATGCTTTGTTCGTTTACCCACTTCGAACAAATTTTTTCCGCGTAGTGTCCAGTGCATGTTTGTCGGATATCCTACTGGTACCTAAGGCTGGCGCGTATATGATCTTGATACTCACCGTTTCTTTCATACTCGGGATATTTCCTTTGACGAGACACAATTTCCCTTTGCAGCGCCACCCTCCACAGATCACTCCACTACTGAAAACCACCCTCTTTACGCCGATTTTCCTTCGGCCCCCGTCTCTGTCCCGTCTGCCCAGCTGCCTATCCCGACTGTCCAACCCGAGAGCAATTCCACCGGGGACCATGACTTCGCCACCACAACCGATACAGCTGCCGCGCCCGTTCTTCGCCCTCAACGGCAACGTCGCCAGCCTTCTCACCTTAGTGACTATATCGTTAATTCCGTTCAATCTAATGCTACGCTGTGCGCCTCCTCGCCTCGTTCTTCATCCTCAGGTACGCATTACCCTATCGCCAACTTTGTTTGTTATTCTAACCTCAGTGACAGGTATCGTGGATTTTTGGGAGCAATAAGTCCTCACTTTGTCCCCCGGAATTATGCCGAGGCAGCCCCCCACTCCAATTGGCGTGAGGCCAAGGACAAGGAACTTCAGGCACTGGAGAATAATCACACTTGGGATCTCACAGATTTACCTCCCAACCGGACGGCCTTGGGCTGTCAATGGGTTTTTAAAACCAAATTCAATTCTGATGGTACAAAGGAGCGCGACAAAGCTCGTTTGGTCGTTCTTGGGAATCATCAGACACTGGGCATCGACTACACAGACACTTTTGCTCCCGTTGCCAAAATGGGTTCTGTTCGAGTGCTACTAGCCGTCGCCGCCGCGAGAGGGTGGCAGGTCCATCAGCTCGACGTCAACAATGCTTTTCTTCATGGCGACCTAATAGAGGAAGTCTATATGCGCCTACCTCCTGGATATGCGCAGCACCACCCTGGCAAGGTGTGTCGTCTACGCAAGTCTTTATATGGTCTTCGTCAGTCACCCCGGAACTGGTTCGCCAAACTGACATGTGCTCTCCGCTGTTATGGTTTTCGTCAGGCTCATGCAGATCACACTTTATTTATTCATCGCCGTGGCCTGATATTTTGGTTGTTCTCGTTTATGTTGATGACATTTTGGTTGCAGGTAACAATGTTCATCTTTGTGCATCCTTTAAGGCATATTTACATCGGTGCTTTCAATTGAAAGATTTGGGCCCTTTATCTTACTTCTTGGGTATCGAGTGTGCACGTTCTACAGAAGGGATAGTCCTATGTCAGCGCAAATATGCCTTGGATATTCTACACGAAGCTGGTATGGTCGGGTGTAAACCAGCAGACACCCCCATCGTGCCTAATCTTGGTCTAGCCCGATCCTCTAGTGCGGCACTCCGTGACCCGGCCCAGTACCGGCGTCTTATTGGTCGTCTCATTTATCTCACTATTACTCGCCCGGACCTCTCTTATTCAGTCCACGTGCTCTCTCAGTTCATGCACAATCCACGCCTGGACCATATGGATGTAGCTCGTCGTGTTCTTCGCTATCTGAAGGGACATCCGGGTCAGGGGATACTTCTTCGTAGTGACAGCTCGCTACAACTGACTGCCTATTGTGATTCCGACTGGGCCTCGTGTCCCCTCACTCGGCGTTCTGTCAGTGCCTATTTTAGTCTTCTTGGTGGATCCCCCGTTTCTTGGAAGACAAAGAAACAAACCACTGTTTTACGCTCCTCTGCCGAGGTTGAATATCGCTCTATGGCCAATGTGTGTTCCAAGGTACGCTGGATTCGGGGTCTCCTTGGTGCTCTCGGTGTGACACCGCCGACTACTCCCCGCTTGTTTTGTGATAATAAATCGGCTCTCTACATCGCCGCCAATCCGGTTTTTCATGAGCGTATGAAGCATATTGATATTGACTGCCACATTGTCCGTGAATGTGTTCAGCGTCGCGAGATCGCTACCGCCTATGTTCCCACCCGTCTGCAACTGGCGGATCTGTTTACGAAGGATTTAAATCGTCCTTTATTTTCTTTTCTCTTATCCAAGTTGGGCATTCGTGATCTTCATGCGCCAACTTGAGGGGGAGTATTAGCTGTATATATTTGTTTACTTATTTGTATGTATTATCGTGTATGGGCCTGGCCCAGTAGTCGTAGTAGTAGCCCATGTATTTTGTATATATACTCGATGTAACTACGGAATCAATCAAGAAAAAGTTCTCTCACATTTTCTACATGCATGAAAGTATTGTTATGAGTCGTGCAAAGAGAACTACAAAGTTACTTGCGAGACTCAAAAATGACTACCTGGTGCGGTATACTCTACAACGAGCCGAAGAGGTGGAGGATGAGTTGTCCACCTATCAAGCCGCGATTACTAGTTATGAGCCGACATAATAGATTTCCGCGATGGGAGAAGAGATGAAATCTCTTAGCAAGAACTCAACTTGGGAATTCATTGCTACAAGGGAAAATGATAGTCACTTGTAAGTAGGTTTTTAGAAGAAATGATGGAATTACTAAAGTAGAAGGCATCAAGTATAAGGCAAAATTGGTTGCAAGATGGTTCAGTTAGAAAGAGGGAGTTGACTACAATGAGATATTCTCACCAGTGGTCACACACACTTCGAGTAGGAAGCGACTAGTAATCGTGGCATACTAAGACATGGAGCATGAGCAACTTGATGTGAAATTTTCTTTCTTACATGAAGATGTGGAAGAAGAGATATACATGAGCCAGCAGAAGGTTTCTAAGTTTTTGGAAAAGAAGACCATCTGTGCAAGTTAAAAGTCCTTTTATGGAATAAAGCAATCTTACAGGTAGTTCTATAAGAGATTCGATAGCTTTATGCAGAAATTAGGCTATGAGAAGTGTGAGTATTATTGCTACGTGTATCACAAGAACTTGCATGGTGGATCACGCATTTACCTAGTTCTATATATGGCTGATATTCTAATTGCAACTCAGAATATCAAGGACATTAGGAAACTGAAGAGGTCTCAGCTTTTAGCACAAAATTCGAGATGAAGGATTTTGTAGTTGCTTGGAAAATCCCAAGAGTTAAAATCTATAGAGGTAGAAAGAAGAGGAAGCTCTTCTTGCCACATGAGGATTAAATCAAGAAGACTTTGCACGAAATTGGGATGAAAACCTCCATGCCTATAGATACTACTATGGCGGCTAACAGCAAGCTAGGAATGTACATCTTTCAGTCTGAGAAGGAGAATAAGTACATATCCAAGGTTCTATATGTTATCGCAGTTTGAAGCCTCATATATGCTATGGCTTGCACTCAACCTATTATAACATTCATTGTTAGCGTAGTCAGTCGAGTCGATTAGGTCAGTGCATGTGGGCAGTCGGACCAAGTAAAAGTCTTGTGAGTCTTTGTGACAAGAGACATTGGGGGTGAAGAAGACAAGCTTTTTTATGACAAGAGAAGCGCACATTTCTGACTAGAGAATTCAAGTCAAGATAGAGATTTGATAGTCTTTATGACTTGAATTAGAAAGTCAATGTCAGTTACACTTGGTAACATGTAAAGACAACTATTATTTAAGTCCTAGTCGTAGTAGGAATATGTTATGGTATGTCTAGCTTAGTATTATAAATAAGAACTCCATGAGGTCAATAGTTGGGGCTTATGCACATCAATTGTATTAAAGCTTTTCTTGTGAAATAAAAGTCGTTCTTCACTAAACTTGTGTGTTTTAATATTTTCGATGTCATTGTAAGGTGGAGCATTCTTAAAGCTAAAATACATTGACACAAGAAAAAATATGATCGATAGCATTTTGAAACTATGAAAACTTTATAAATAAATTTTAAAAAGAGTGATTTGGATCCAATTTCTCAAATCATAGAGACAGACAACCTATTTATCTCACTTTGACATTTGTTAAACATACATAATTAATGGCAAATAGAATAGCACTACCTTAGATGAACTCGGATTAGGGCACT